GACTCTCATACTTATTTTGTATCAAGACTAAATTTATCAACCTATTTTATTAAATTATAAAATCACCAATTAATTGTAGTTTCTTAATGAAAAATTATAACATTCTTTCACTTGGGCAATATGAATTGGGTTGTTTGATTTCAAAGAAACATAATTTAAAAAATAAGACTTTAGGCTAATCAATTTTACTTTGATGTGGTCACAGTTTTAAAAAACAAGTTAGCTCTTAAAACATCTTAATGATTCTATCTAATAAAATCATATAATATCGGATCATGGCAGCCATTATGCTTTTTATTGATGTAAGATCAATCTATGGTTACAAGTAATAGAGATTCTACCAACAATGAATCTCAGTGTGGTTGTATAGTAAGAACATAACACCTAAATATGATCTTAATGTGTTATTTTTATTGTCAATCATCTTGCCAATTTCTCTAAACTTGCTAAAAATTCTCCAAAATACTTACTAATAAATAAAATTTTACTTGCTACTCTCTAAAAATATCATAATTAGAAAACAATTAATAGCTTATGAAAGCATACTTGATTTATTGATTATTTTTGTAAAAGTAAAAGATTTTAAAAGCTAATCTTACGATTTAAGTGAAACAAATTCTTTTCGTAATTATTTAACACATGTTATTTCTCATAACATAATTGCATAATTTTAATAACAATACTTTCCTATTGTTTAATAGACTAGCATAAAATCTAGATGTCTCTCATAAATCATTAAAGCCAACATTTATGTTTTATATGTCCGTGAAAAAATGAGATTTTATAAAATATATATAACATTATGCACTTTATTAGGCTTTAAACTTGATGTCTATAATTCTAAATCATAATTATGTGATATATATATATTTACATATATATATATATGTATATAACTAAAATATTGTAAGAATGCTAAACATGTTTATCACACATAAGACATGCTTTCAAAATAATCAAACGTAATTTCACATGTCACATTTTGTATAAGTATGATCTTTTATAAAACTACTTTATCAAACGATGATAAATTAAAATAAAATGATATAACAAACTTACTGAACATGCTTGTGACAATTATTTTCTTATATTCATATAACTAAACAATATTTAAAGTATTCACAAATTGTCTAAGGTAAAAGACTTTTGTCATCACAAAATGCAATATTTTAAAACACCCATGTCTTAATTAAGCTCTAAATTACCTTTTATCATTTTTAATATAACATACTTGATCTTTATCACCAAAATCAATAGTAATATTCAAGACAAAAGAATGCAACATTCCATATATGAGCAACAATCCTTACAAATAACACTAGCTCATGATGTATTATTTGCAATAAAATTGAAAAGTTCAAGTACATCATCACAAACTCCATTTTGGATAGAGAATGTGACATGTTATTATGCACTTTTCACATGAAGCTAATATGAAAATATTTTAGTTTTCGAAAGCTTATCCCCTTTAAGTAAACAGACCTCCTAAACTAGCATACCCTCAACCATGATGTTTTATATCGACTCCAAATTGCCAAACACAATAACCTCCTTTAGGTAAGCGATTACATAAGGTAATTTGAAAACACTCCCATTCCTGTGCGTGAGAAAATCTTGTAAGTCTCAATGAATGAGCCACTTTCGCAGACAATTGTATATTCTCATATTAAGAAACTTGGACTGCCCATAATTTTAAGTTGCTTACTTAAGTAAGTGTATACAATTTTGATCAATTCCTATGAGATACTTGACTTTGATGTATCTTTTTAAGTCATTAAAAATTGATAGCTTTTATGTAAAGCACTAATAATTAATGTACATTTCAATGGATTATTATAGGGTTGATCTTTTTCTTATGAAATACTTAAATCGAATGTGTCTCACTAGATCAATAAATGATATATTGCATTCAAAGCAAGTGTCTTAAATTTTATAAATAATTTAATATTTTCATTCAATACTTTATTCTTATGTACCATATACCAAAAATAAAAATTTTATAAATTAACAATGATACATAATGTCAACAGAGTCATGAAAAAAATAAATCAAGGTAACAATTTTAAACTCAAATTATTTCATATAAATAATAATTCAATATTATCTAATGATTAAATGAAATTATAAAATAAATTACCAATTTAATGCTAGCTGTACCAAAATCTCATGAAATTCAAACCTAACTTGCCTTTCAAAATAATGAATGTTTAATTTTAAATGGATAATAAAAAATTAGTAAAAATAAATTTACTAAATTTATTCAAATATGCACATAACTTTAAGCCAATAGTACTTAAATTTTAAACAACATATATGAAGAGTACATAGCTCTAATAGAGTCACATTTTATCACAAAATAATTTGTCAGAAAACATGTGCATAACATATAATAATTCTTCAATTATGCATGAATATAAAATAATAAATATTTCATGCAATAAAAAATTCCAAAAAAATAATAGAAAAATAAAAAAAAATTCTAAGCAAGACAAAGTAATTGAAACAAAAACGGCCACCAGGGTAAGTCCATGCGCCATACGCACCACCAGCCATGAGTGGGCTTCATCCTACATTTGTTGGGAGGTTGTCTTCAACCTCAACCAATTTAGCTCGACCCAGTTGGATCTTATTGTGACTCGTTCAGGTCTATTTGTTGTTTCAAGCTTGATTTTGATGCTTCTCTTGTGTTTTTCATGAAATTAAGGTTTCTAAAATTCAATTAAGCTATTGTTTTATCAAACACATATGAAAAAATACATCAAAAAATTATAAAAATAAGATCAATTAACCTAAAGAAACTTGATTGTTAAACCCATATTTAACCTACTTCAAGATTTCTTTAAATTTTCATGGTTTTCTTTATTTTTTACGCAATTGAATCTTCCAAACTTCAATTAACATATTTATTTGCAAAATTCATGTAATAAATCATATAAAAAACATATAAATCTCCACGAATGGAAGAAAAATTCTCAGTTCAAAATACCAATGTATAGCCCGATTCAACTTTCTTCAAATTTGATCATATAATTCAAATTTTTATGAAATTAAATACTTTATTTCATCTCTATAAGACATGGGTAACAATGTTTAAAGGTCAATTAGAATTAAAACATATAAAATATCAAAGTTTTAATTAAATTTTGAATTTCATTCAAATATAAAACTTGAACTTTTAAACTTTGATTTCTCTCTCTACAAAACAAATCACTAAAAATTATTAGTATAGTTTTGATCCGTGTTCAAATAGGAACAAAAGCCCCAAATTTTGAGAAAACAAGATCAAAAAGTTGGATTGCGACAATCATAAGATTTCGCTTAAAACTTAATTTCATGCAAAATTAACATTTTAAAAACATAATTTTAGGTCCTAATATCACATAATTAGGCCTGATACCACATGCAAGTATAATCTTAATTCCTAAGAATCATATGTGAATATTATAACACCAAATTTAATCATATTGCATACTTGTTTAGGCAATTATAGATGATAAACGGAAGCAATATCAATTCTTGAAGAGACTAAGTCTTTCTCTTCACTATTCTCTTACTGACGACTCTTAATAGGTAGATTATATTACTTAAAGTGAACAAGAGACCTTAGCCAATTTTCATTAAAACCCAGAAAACCTCCCATCAAAAGTTTACCTGGTCAAAAGCTTGCATAACCACCTAATGACATCAACCTTGTAAGATATGCAAAGCTCAATGATCACATTAAATTATTTAGACTCTCATATATGTCTCATATTATGATTAAATTTATCAACTTGATTTATTAAACTATAAAATCATCGTTTAATAGTAGTTCACTTATTGAAAATTTTTTAAAATAGATGATGTGGCGATAACTAAACATTTTTTACATCTGTTATAATTGTAATAAACTTTTTAAAATATATTTTTTAAGTTACATTCATAATTAATATATTATATTTATATAATCAATTATTATATCACTGAATATAAACAATCAAATTCACAAGAAATAAGATTTGAACTTAAAAACTCAAAATTTTAAAATATCTTTTTTACCACTAAATCAATGCCTCTAGCTTTAAAAAATTCTTTTATTAAAGTTGTTTTCGGTAAAAAAAAAAAAATTATTAATAAAACAAACAAACAAACAAAAACAAACGGAGCTTTTGTGAATGTTTTGTTTGGTGGAATGAGTGAACTGAACCTCCATTGTGGTAAAATAGCTTGCCAGAGTTGACGCTTGCGTCAATCCTCGTAAAAAGATTTACATATACACTTGTTAAATAATTTATAGCTATTTATGAAAAAAATTTACATATACACTTGTTAAATATATATAATATATAATAATATATATTATCATTCAGTCACATGAAATAAAGATTTTCAAAATTTTATTAAATTCATTAGAATTTTATAACTTTTCACCTAAATTTTTAAAATAAAAATAAATATGTAATATATCTTATGAATATAATATTTTAATACACATAACACCGTCTTTTATAATAAATTGTTTAAGCATTCAGATAATAAATTTAATTAAACATATTTTCAATTTTTTAATTTTTTTTGTAGAACAAAAATTTTATCATCGGTATATATTTTAGTTAAATTAAATTTATTCAAAGCTTGCATCATCAACCTTGTCTATGAAGCCTGCCTCCAAATAACAAAAGCGGTAGGCTTTAAATTAAAATTTAACCCGTCACTGACTTTTTTTTTTTATCATTTTATGCTTTATCTTTGTATTATGTTTTAAATTGTCAGATACACTATACACAAGGGGTACTCTCCTTGCAAGATTCATCGGCCTGGTTTGGATTTATTCATGATCTTCCATTTCAAGCATTCTCAACTTTTACACAGGAAACTCAATGCATTCTATTCATGGCACACCCCTAGGGAGACTATCAAGAAACTTGTTACTGCTTTCTGGTAGAAAATAACAAGCATTTTCCATGAATGGCAACTCAAGAAAATAGTTTGAATATATTTAAATCCAACAACCAACACAGTCCATGAAGATGAAAAGTGGAGGCCAAATTTTCAAAACATCTAACCACAATGAATCAAAGAAACTCAATACTTTTCCTACATGCAACACATACTCTGCCATCCATCAGTAATGATTATGAACCATGCTACAAAGAACAAATTAGAACCTTCAGTGGGCTCCACAACATCAAGATCTGCTACTTTCTGTACAACTTATCTAGTTAGAGATCAGGAGTTAAAAACCGGCCTTCTATACCCGCAGATTATGAGGATTAGGTTTTGTAAGTGCTTTGGTAAAGTAATTGCAGATCTCGGGAATTACACGCTGGATTAGATGCCAGTGCCTGCAATTATTCAGGATGTGGAAATTTTCAGCATTAGTGATAGATTTGAATCCTGCAGCTAATATTGACATAGGAGAAATAAAAGGGAGCTATATCTAATCTCATTATACAGAAAACTATAAATCAGTATTAAGTATTATCAGTCATGGTGAAACATAAGCATTTGGCAAATGCTAGTTTGAAAAGCCCAAAGAGACTACCAAGATTATTCCATTTTCCTGGCAGTATATGTAGAAAGATTCAATTCAAGCTTCCCTTATAGATACCCTTGTCACCAAGCTCAACACTTGCACAAATTTTAAGGTTTTGACTTCGATATAATACATAATGACACAGCCATGAAAAAAGCATGAAATTCCTCTAATCACTAATGCATTCTGTAAGATGCAACTCTCCATCTTCAAAGTCCGGTAACATTCCAGCCGATGTCCTAACAATTCAACATGTCCCAGGCCCCAACACTACTACACTGAGCCAACGCATTCATCACAGAAATACCAGACAAGGGCTCTGGAAAACTGCAACCAGCACACTGAGAGATCTAGGATCTAAAACAACCTCTTCGTAGTTTGATACAAGTAGCACATTGACAACTAGAAAGAGTAGACAATACAATAAAAATGCAATGCTAAACACTCTATTATGTTTGACATAAAGTAAAATTCCTAAAGAAGGGCAGGGATGTGGCAAGTTGATTGAAGTACATACCCAGGTCTTGTGCTCAATTTATCAAAATGCTCCAAGATAAACAAAATGCAAGTGTGCCTCAATGATATAGCATGGAAGGCTTCAGAGAGCTCATATAAGTTTGAAACATTTTCCAGCGATATATCCTTTAATGAAAACATAGAAATAATCAGACCCCAATTCCCAATATAAAAGCAGCAAAAGGATTTGAAATATATACAGACAACCCTTTTGGCTCACCTGCACAATTGTATACTCGCAGAGTCGCTTAAGTCCCTCCAAAAGATATTGATCAGCTGCTCTGAGCAGATCCTGTGCAATATCCAACCTAATATCTACTGATCCAGTGTATATAAATCTGTTAAAAAAACGAAACAAAGTAAATTACTGATGATCAAATAGAATCAAGTTAATGTGGATAGATCTGGATCAGAGAATTCGTCATACCTCATCATCAACTCAAAAACCTCCCATCTAATGTTTGGAATTTCAATATCTCTTGCATCTTTTTCCTGCAACACAGGCCAAGAGGAATTAAAAATGAATATCATGTAGCTTGAAAACATTGTTTCTATCCTATAGTGAGTGCTATAGGTATATAAGTTCAAAGCTAAACTCATAATAAGAGTGCCAGTATTTTCGAAAAGAAACAATAAGGCTACCAGTTACAAGTGAAAAAGCCCAAGCTTGCAAAAATAGATGAGTTTAGAGCATTTCCAGAATCATCAGAAATATAGGATTATATCTCAAATAAGCTGCAAGATAAAGCAATAAACACTCTCTCGGTTTAGAAAGATTATGAATAAAAACTCCCACCCAAACACCAAGGGTGAAGGCCTGAACAGAACCCTAGGCCCCTGTTGGGAAGAGGAAGGATGACCAACTGGGACATTAAAATGATGCAAAAGTAAACTCACCCGATAACCTCCATCAAACATAGCACGGAATGCATCTGAAGAAGCAAGTAGGCAGATTCTGTGAGCATAGAACCGTCTACCTGCAAGAGAAAAGAAAGAGGATCATAATTATAACAAAAGCTATATTTTGAACGTCACCAAATATTTCTCCATAGCAAGTATCAGAAAATAACAACCTTCAACTAGGAAGGTAACATCAGACAATGTAGTGTTGTTCACATATTGCTCCCCCAAATAGACCTGCATTAAAGTTGTATGTCATAACAAGCACTTCATATAGAACTTTCGAGAACCAATTATGAGAATGTTGTCAATCTACTTTAGCAATTTGAAATGATTATATGAACACACATCCACACACATATTCAGATTCTTTAGCAAAAATAAGAATATCTGTAAAAAAGCTCTCCTAATCCAGATTATAGGCTTTTCATTTGTTTCCCAAGAACATTTGGAAATGCATAACAAAAACAAGAAAGGAAGTTTTCAATTCCTCAATTTCCTTGTTCTTTCAATTAATCTCTCCAAAACTAGAAAAGTACTTGTTATTGTTTTGACAAACTTTCTCTCTTTTTTCTTTAAAAAGAATTGTCACTAATTTCAAATTCAGTTTTTAATTTCAAGGTCTACAAATAAACACATACTTCAATCAGATGTACTACCAAAAATGTCAGTTTTCCTTCATTCTCCAATATTTGGTCGGCAGGCAACATGTACAAACAAAAACTCATAAGCCTAGTCCAATTTTACCGCCAACTTTAGATTATGATATTAAATTACAACTGGTCATAGATCTGGCCTTTCAATGATCATGGAACAGGATTTGGCAGTAGACAATACCAAGCTACTCAGAATAACGTTCATTCAGATTTATGACTTCAGGCAATGGAAATCCATGGAACTAAACTAACGAGCTTTTACAAACTCACACCTGTGGTGTTGGAGAAGGGGGAGCCGCATCCATGGGAGAAAGAGTCATAGCTTTGTTGGCCAACTTGTACAGAGCAACAGCACCATCAAGTTGCTGCTTAGGGCTTGTAGAACCAAGAAGCCCAAGAAGCAGCTCAAGTCCTGCATGAAAATAGAGCACAATCAGCCTCTCAAAGCAGCCCAAAGACGTGTGCTCCATTACTGCAATAGACTAATTTAAATTGCACAGAATTAAGAATATGACTGTGATTATGGGATAACTGAAGAAGGGACAAAGAATATGACCATTGTTATCAATGAATACAGTTCTCTGATCATCGGGGGAACAAAGATGAGCTAGAGCTAGAGCCACTCGTCTTTGGACTGGCTTCTCTGCTACACGTATCAGATACAGCAAATGGTTCAAAACCTATAAAAGATAAATTAAAATCAAAATCTCAGAGATTACACACACAAATTTAATGAGACCTAAAACATAAATAAGCATTGAAAGCTAGGTCTTTCCATAGTCCAAACAAAAAATATGATCAATAAAGATATAATGGTAAAGGATAGTTAAAGGAATGACAGTGCTTACTCGCCCATGAATCTTCTCTTCTAGTCTTTTCAATGTCTTGGCTACACAGTCTTTTGTAGCCTGAAAGTACAATTACCAATATAAAATCAGTTAAGGAAAAAGAAAAAGCATAGAAATGAGCTGACAAAGTTTTGAGTTCTGTCATCAACTTAGAAACTAGTAGCATGCGAACTTAGAGGAGAGCAAGAGGTAACATCTGAAAGGTTTGACATACTTGAACAATAAACTCTCCATCTTGCAGCCGTTGGACACCACCCACCCTAATAAATTCGGATATGTTATCCTATGGGAGAGAACGATATATTAACACAGTGTTTCATGACTCCAGAAACTAAATCCAAGCACTTTGCCAGGTTCACAACTATCGCAACCTAACATACCTCATTATCTGCAAGGCCATAAAGAGCAAATGCAGCATTGTGTTGCAAAGATCCATTCTTCGAATCTAGAAGCTTCAACAAAGGCACCAAACCACCATTATGTGCAATACCAGCTTGATTGTGTGTGTCCTGAAATCAAAATTATTTTTTAGTGGCAAGGAGCTACCTACGTGTTCCAACTTATGAAGACAAGAAATTTAGTTGAGAGTATTAAATTTCTAAGCAGCATAAGAGAACAATTATTGGAAATTATATAACTATAAATCTAGAAAATGCAATTAGCAAAGGCCTCATTAAGTGTAACAGTAAATTCCTTAACAAAAAAAAACACAAAAAAGATTGAGCCCCACAGAAACTTGAATCCATTCAACACTGAGGAGCAGAGATTCTTAAGATATCAGGCAGAAAATTAGATTTGCAAACATACATGATTAAAAGTTTGAGAGACAGAATACTTAAAAGAGTGGAAAACAAGGGGTACAGATTGGCTGTTTTCCTAAAAATGCCATGATAACCACGAGTTATAACAATTGCAAAACCAAGAGAACAACAAGCAGTTGAATTGATAGGACAAAATTTTTGTAGTTTAGTTCCAAAACTGGCAGAAATACATAAACTAAAATTAACTTCAAAATTTATTTAAAAATGCAAAGATTTAAAGCAGAGATAAGTAAACTCATTACTATCTCAGAAAAAGGAAAACCATCCACAAGATGTGAAGATAAAAGCCACTATGCATCATTCACAGCATTAATAAAAGCTTGAAACGGTACAACTAAGAAAATAACAATAATAACCTGTGCCAACCTCCCCAAAGCAAAGGCTGACATCTCTTTAAGCTGTACATCTGGAGAGTGAAGCATTTCAATCAGGGGTCTGACAGCACCCCTTTGTACAATATGAACCTGCATTGCAAAGCAGCATATCTCAGAAAGAAGAAACAATGAAAAAATAAGGTCAACAGAAATTATAAGCATACAGACCGGTGCTTTTAATACACTATAGGGACAAAGGAAATAATATGAAAAGCTAAATACATTCAAATATCATGACACTAATTTAAGAGCCAATAATGGGTTTTTCTTCCTGTGTCCCCTAAATAGAAAAAAAGAGCCAGGAAGAAGTATCTTAAGCCTAGTAAAGTTTAATGAAGGGAAAAGGCAGTCTTCACCTTGCAGTCAGAATCAGTTGCGGCAAATTGTCCAATTAATAAAGCTGCCTCCCTTTGGCTCTCCGAGCAGCAGGAGCTGTTTTCCAATAAAACAAATTAATTAACAAAAGGGGGAACCCCGGATAAACTGCAGTTTAAAAGAATAGGTAAAAAGTAACTAGTAAGAACTCATGCTAAGCCATGTAAAAGAAACATCAAAACAAATTGAAGCATACGTAAGCAAACCAATGACAGGTTGCAAAGCCCCAGCAGCAAGAACTTCTTTTTTTATGTTTGGTGATGAATGTACTAGATTACCAATCACTCCAACCTACAATTCATTGGGAAAAAAATTGATGCTACAGCTGGTATAAAGAAAATATTAAAACACAGTGGAAATTTCCAAGAATTATCTAGTGCTATGATAGCATCCTACCGCTTCATAGTGTATAGCAGCATCCTCTGATCTTAGCATTAAAATCAGAGAAGGAAGAGCATTGCATTCAACAATCTGCAAAACCAAAGTATTCACACCATTAATTAGCATTAAAGGCAATTTTATCCATCAAACTTCTAAAGGAAGGTTTGTTACCTGATTCTTGTTTTCATCATTTTTGAATGCAAGGGTTCGTAATGCCCCAGCAGCTGCTCTTTGCACCTTTGCATCAGTAAATTGAAGCAACTCAACAAGAGGTGGAATCCCACCTTCCATTCTATCAACCAATCAAGATAGTTATTAGAATAAACATGGAGCTAGACAACTACATTGAGTTAAAAACTGCACAACTTTAGCAAACCTGACACGGGTTTTGATACTGCTATTCTCGTGAGCAAGGTTGGTGATAGCATCAGCCGCTCTTCTAATGACACTGATCACAGCACGAGAAGAAGAAACATCTTTGTGCCACCTCAACAAATTTACAAGATGCGATAAGGCCCCAGAATCAACTATAAGTTGCTGATGTTCTGGCTGTTGCCAGCAAAGGCAATAAAGAATTTAGCAGATTCAGTGATTAAACATAGTGAATACCAAACATATTTGCATTAATAGCAAGAACATAAATCATGCAAAACCAAAGAAAATCACCAGACTCAATAAATAACCAAGCTTTAGAGGCTAAGCAATAAAATCAACCACCAGTTCTATATTATAGTGTTATTTTCTGCTTAAATGATAATATGAATGGAGGCCATCTCTATGCACCTCAAACTTTCTCAAGTTCAAAGTTCAACTTCTGCTATCTATAGTGGAATTGACATTAATTAATCATATTAGGAAACATACTAGTAACAAATAAAAAATTGAAATAAAACATCAAATATTTACTAATGCTACTAACAGGAAATTCAAAAAGAAAAAAGCCACATATCACGAACAAGTGAAACTCCAACAACTAATTCAAAACTTAAAATACAATAAATACTAAACAAAACTATAGGAAAAAAAAAAGCATGATAGTAACAACCAAGTTATATAAAAACGTTAATATTCAGTAAACTAACCTTTACGGCAAGAAGTCCCAGCGCAAAAGCACTTCCTTTTTCAACCTCGTGCTCGAAAGGCTTCGGGCTTCGGTCGCCGTCGTCATACGGAGGCGCTTGTAGGTGCTTCACTAGAGCTGGAACCGCACCACCTTCAACGATCACATTAACAACTTCCTCTGCAAAAGATAAAAAACACCCAAAAAAATTATTACCATTAATCGTAAAATTCAAAAACAGTAAAAACACAACATAAAGAATGGCAAGAGGTATAAAAAATAATGAGATCGGGGGTTGAGATTTTAAAATTTTACCGTTCTTGGCGAGCTCGGCGAGCACATGAGCAGCACGCTTGGCGGCGGCCCGATCAGGTTCGCGCCAAGAGAAGGCAGAGTCGAGGACGTTAACCTGAGCGGTGACTTCGGCCAATAGAGCACAGCGGGCATCGCTGGAAGGGAGAGATATTTCGCGGTCCTCTTGGATTTCTTCCTCCAGTTTCCGTTTTTGCCCCTTTCGTTCTGGGAGGCCCCGGTCCTCGCGCCTGTGAAGCTCCATCAAGAAGGAACAAAGAAGGGAATAAGAGGGGGAAGGTTTTATCGGAAATGAGAAATTGAGAATCGTGACTTTGAAGAGAGACCGAGACAGAGATTGGATCAGGGGTATTTTTGAGATTTAGTAAAAGAGGGAAGCCTTTTTGGCTAGGAGCGTAATACACCACCAAATTTTCTATATACAGTTCCAACATTTTATTTCAAAAATATATACATATTAAATATTATTTTTAACCTATAATAAATGATAAAAATACATTTGATAATATATACAACCAAAAACCACCTGATATTTTTCATAAATAAATTTTCAAGAAATATATTATGTTTTCATAAATTCATTTTTGAGAAAATAATATAATTCTTGAAAATAGATTGTCAAGAATAAAACACACCAATCAAAAAAACCATTTCTAAAAATTATATTACTTTTTCAAAAATAGATTTTTGAAAATTATCCTGTACTTTAAAAAATTCATTTTCGATAATACTTAAATTTTTTTAAATATATATTTAATTACAAACTCTTAATAACAAAAAATTCAAGATCTCTAATCTTTGGGCTATTAAAAATACTAATAACATATTGACAAATTTAACAATAAAAAATAGTGGCCAAAATATTAGATACTATAGAATTTATTAATCTGCTGATAAAATTGTTAACGACAATGTTCTATAGGGTATTTAAATTCGAACTAGCATACATACACACACATAAGTCATCGATGTACTTATTTTTACTTGATCATATGTACAAATGAAAGAGACAAAGTTCTCAAGCATGTACGATATAAAAATATTGTTATAAACTTTTTAAAAGCTCAAGAGAAAGAATAAGTTTACCCCATGCATGTTGAAAACATCGAGTTTAGTTTCATTCGCACACATAATCAAGTAAATGGGTTCATAAGCGCATAATTAAGGTTTTTGATAAAAAGTGAAATCGAGTTTTTTCAAATATAAAAATCCGAGAAGCCCCAAATCTTTTCTAATATGTACTTCTGAGAAGGCTCAAAACTTCTCGAAAATATATATCTGAAAACTTTTGAATTTTTTCAAAAATGAATATCGAAAAAGTTTTAAAGATTTTCGAAAATGAATATTCGATAATTCTTAAAACTTCTCAGATATTTATTTTTAAGAAGCTTCAAAGCTTCTCAGATATGAATATTCTAGAAGCTCGATTTCAGAAAGTGAAAAGAGAAGAAGAGATAAAAGGTAATAATGAAAAATAGAAAGTGGGGGATAGGATGTATTTAGTAAAAATAAGAAAATGAATTTTAAATTTGAGACATATATAAAAGTGGGGTTTATATCGCATTAAATAAGGTGTCAATAGAATTTCCCTTTTGTTTGAAATGTTTTTATTCACACCCCAACTTTTTCTTTTTACTGAAAGATGGAAGTTTTTTTTTTCAAAATTTTTTGTAAGTGAAATTATTTAATTATCTTTCTCATAAATTTTTAGATATCTATATCCGATAAATAAAGTGTAAATAGAATTCCCCTTTTGGTTGAAATGTTTTTATTCACACCCTAACTTTTTCTCTTTACTAAATGATGGAATTTTTTTTTCAAAATTTTTTGTAAGTGAAATTATTTAATTATCTTTCTCATAAATTTTTAGATATCTATATCTAATAAATTTTATAACTTTTCAAAAATTTATTTTTGAAATATTATATAACTTACAAAAAATGAATTTTTGAAAAATTATATAACTTACTGAAAATGGATTTCTAAAAAGTTATTAAACTTTATAGAAATTCATTTCAGTGACGAGGGATTGTGAAATTTTTTAAAACAATTTCAAAAAAAGTAATTTTATTAAAACTTTTTAATAATGAGTGTAAAGAAAAAGTTATTATTAAAAATAATAACTTTAAAAATTAATAAAAATTTAATCTTACTATTTTGATTTTAGATAAATAAAATTAAATTTTATAAGGCCACATATAAGCGATGAAATTTCTTAAAACTGTACAAGTAATACTATTGAATACTAGACAATTTTGGTAAACTCTAATTAGTTAATTAAAAAAACTCATCGTGATAAGTAGATGAAGAGATTTTTCTAAAGAGTAACTTTGAAACTGTACAAATAATATTACTGAATACGATGTAATTTTATCAAAATCTAATATATTAACTAAAGAAATTTATCGTAATAAATATATGAAAAGACTTCTCGTAGGAATTCAATTTAGTTAGAGTTATTATAAAATTTTAATAATATATACCAAAAAATATTTATTAAAATAATGATAAATTTTAAATTTATTAAAAAATTTACATTATTCATAACATTAAGAAATAAAATATTTAATTAAAATCTCATAAGATTTATTCTTCCTCAAAGATCAAAATAGTAAAATTAACTTTTTTATTAATTTTTAAATTTATGATTTTTCTAATAATAACTTTTTTTGTTATACTTATTATTAAAATATTTTAATAAAATTCTTTTTTTTATAATTTTTCTTAAATTTTTACACTCTCCTTTCATAGTAATGAACTTTCGAAAATCCATTTTCGATAAGTTATATAATATTTTGAAAATATATTTTTGAAAAATTATAAAACTTAACGGATATGAATATTCAAAATTTTGTAAAAAGGATAATTACGTAATTTCATTTATAATTTTCTTTTTTTTAAAATAAGAGGTGTAAAGGAAAAAACCTATTATGTGAATATAAATGCTTTTTTAGTTGTTTTCCTTTCTTTCTCTTTTCTTTTTCATTTTTCTTTTTTTAAAAAATCCATTTGTTTTAAGAAAATGATTTTTAAAAATGATTTTATATTTTTTGTGTTTATTTAACAAAAAATTCATTAATTAATGAAACATGATTTATCAATTAATAGAAAATGAGTTTATTTTTCAAATAATAACTATTTATTAGTAAGACCATTCACCAAGCTTGTAAGCATAGTTTAACTCAAGTTTTTAGCTTAGTTTGACTTAACTCATAATATTATTTTATTTTAATTAAAATATTAAAATATTAATACAAAAAAATCTTTTAATATTTTAATTTTAAATATTTTATAATTTTAATCAAGTCAAATTTTAGATATAATTATTTAAACTCAAAGTTAATTTAATCTGATTCGAAATAACATTTGTTAATAAAAGGTAATTTTATGTGATTTTAATTAAAAATATCAAAATATTAAAATATTAATATTAATAATAATATTTAAAGTTTTCTAATTGTTAAATTTTAAATATTTGATTTTGTATATTATTAGCCATAAATATTTTTAATATTTCAATAATAAATAGTTTTATATTATTATTTTAATAATAAATAAAAATACTTATATCATAAATAATTTTATTATTATTTTAATAATTTATATTATTTAATATAATAATATTATTTAATAGTATGACCATTTTAAATCATATTTTAATATTTTTTATTTAAAATATATTAATTTTATATTTTATTGACAAATTTATTCATATTACTATTTTAATAATAAATATAAATAAATAATATATTTTTCATAATTTAATAATAAATATTTTCAATATAAAATAAAACTATTTTAATAATAAATATATTTAAAATTTAACAAATAAATAATAATGTTAAAATATTATTATATTAATAGAAATAATACTTCAAGAAAAGTAATGCTATTTTAAATATTTTAAAATATTAATATAAAGAATAATTTAATATTAAATATTATTATTAAAATACATAATAATTTTAATAATAAATAATTTTGAATATTATAATAGTTATGTTAAAATTATTTGAATGGAGCCACATTTTTGTGCAGGCTAATTATAATTATTGTAGGTCTATTATGTCTAAGAACAATATTAACTATTTTGTACATTTAAAATTATCTTATTTAGATAAAATCCTATAATTTATATTACTATGGCCATAGTTTGTAACTTTTGAAAAACTATCTTATGTGTAAAAATAATATATAAACTATTTTATTATATTCTAAATTTGTAAGAGTATTATAATGACTTTATTGTGTCGTATTTTTTAATTATTATTATTATTATTATTATTATTATTATTACAAATAAGTGTAAAAATATTATTTAAATAATTATGTAAAGGATATTATTTTGATGGAATACTATATAATTTTTTAGAAAAACTTCAAACACTAGAAAATATTTTTCACATGATCATTCAAACAACTGAAAGTATCAAGTTTTTCAAAAAATAAGTCCATTTTGCAAAAATTATTTTTAGTGAAATAAACGAAGTATAATAATGCTTTTAAATGCACTTTATAATTACTCTATACACGTAAATCCTAGATACACCTCAAATTCAAAGCTTAAAAACAAATTTTCACTTATTACACCCCATAACCTCAAACCTTCACACCCCAAAACTTGATTCCACACCTAAAACCCCTTTTCAAACCTTAAAATAGGATATCACAGTTTTTAACCCAAAAATCACCATAAAATCCAAAGATTTAGAGTTAATCAAGTCACAAACTTAAATTTAGAGGTAATTTCCTTTGATATTGATTGATTTTGCATTTTTCATTTCGTAAATTTGGGTTGGATTTGTGCTGGAATCCGTAGCTTCTACATTTACGTTTCCAAAGCTTATCAAAGCTTTTAGATTTACATATTCAAAAATTTTCAAAAGAATCTAAAAATGCAAATCTAAAATCTAAAGCATTCAAATGTTTCTAGACATGCAAATTTGAAAACTTTCAAAGGTTTTTGGATTTGCAAATTTGAAACCCTTAATATATTTTTCAATATTTACTCAATATTTACATATTTATATATTTTTCAATATTAATATAAAAAAAATATGTTTTGGTTAATTTGCATATTTGCTTTGAAAGATAAAGTGTTGATCATTGATTCTATGAAACAATGATATGACACGAATGAGAAAATGTGGTGTTTGTAAAGGTAGGGGACATAGTGCGTTCGACACTTTAACGTGTCATACTATTTCTAAGAGAAAATGACACATCTAAGAACATGTAGATGAGTTGATTGTTGACCTTCAAACTAGTTCTTGAAGATAGGCCTCCCACCTAATAGTATGATGATAGGGGTAAAGGTGATGCGAAAAAGATGGTTGAGTTTTTTCCTACAGGGCTAATACTTTTATCTTTAAGAGC